AATGTGCTTCGCGCCACAACGGCGTGCAATTTTTCATCTCTCATCTGGCCAGCTGGCTCCGCACCCGCTGCTTTAGCGAGCCTACTTTTCGACCCTCCGGAGCCCCAAATCATTGGAAAAACACAGTGTTTCGCGACTTTCCTACCTTTTCACGCATCTGCATCTTCTTTCTTCTTACTCTTTCTCTTCTACTCTTCTTTCTTCTAATCTTTCTCTTCTCTCTGCCTCTTCCCTGCTCTGCTTTTCATCTGTCCATATTGTTGGAAGTTTGACTTCTAAACTTCCTTCGATGAGATCCAAAATTGCCAATATCTGCGGTTTCAGATTTCTATATGGGTTTGTTTGAAAATTAGGTGCCCGAAAAAATCTGATGAACGCTATGGCTTCAATGTGTCACCCTTTCAGAAGAATATGATGCACCCAGACCTCGACAAATATCAAGATACCTACCTTTGCTTGTTGGTAGAAGATGGTTGTACACTTGCACAATATTAATATGCCTTGGAATTATCTCTACCAGTAGTACCGCACAAGGCGGTGGCGGAAGTTTCAAAAACAGGAAACCTATAGGAGAGGTTGGTTGTTGTGAATCAGGGATGGCAGAGCGAAGCCATTGATGGACCAAAAGGTGCTTGAGGTCTCCTCTCTTTCTCTCTCTTTCTCTGACTATCTACCTACCTACCTACCTATCTATCTATCTATCTATGTATCTATTTATCTATCGATCTATCGATCTATATCTCTGTCTCTCTCTCTCTCTCTCTTCCATCTAATTACCTATCTATCTTATCTATCTATCTGTCTGTCTATCTATCTATCTATCTATCTGTCTATCTGTCTATCTGTCTACCTGTCTATCTGTGGTGCAGTGTCATTCAATGTAATGTAGTGTAGTTGTAGTGTTGTGGAGTGTAGTGTAATGTAGTGTAGTGGAGTGTAGTGTAGTGTAATGTAGCGTAGTGTAGTGTAATTTAGTGTAGTGTAATTTAGTGTAGTGGAGTGTAGTTGTGCAGTTGTAGTTGTAGTTGTAGTGCAGTGGAGTGTAATCTAATGTAGTGAAGTGTAGTGGAAGGTAGCGTAGTGTAGTGTAATGTAGGGTAGTGGAGTGTAGTGTAGTGTAATGTAGTGTAGTGTAGTGTAGTGTAATGTAGTGTAGTGAAGCGAAGCGAAGCGACATCTGAGCCTCCAAAAGTGGTCCGAACCCCTAGTTTTTTTAACATTTTGACTTCAAAATGTGCTTCGCGCCACAACGGCGTGCACTTTTTCGACATCTGAACTTCCAAAAGTGGTCCGAACCCCCAGTGTTTTTAACATTTTGACTTCCAAATGTGCTTCACGCCACAACGGCGTGCACTTTTTCGACATCTCAACTGCCAAAAATGGTCCAAGAATGGTGTGTTTTGTGCATTTTGACTTCGAAATGTACTTCGCGCCACAACGACGTGCACTTTTTCGACATCTCAACTGCCAAAAGTTGTCCGCACCCCTACTTTTTTGTGCATTTTGACTTGGAAACGTGCTTTGCGCCACAACGGCGTGCACGTTGTCGACATCTCAACTAGTAAAAGTGGTCCGAAGCTGGTGTGTTTTGTACAGTTTGACTTGCAAATGTGCTTCGCGCCACAACGGCGTGCAATTTTTCATCTCTCATCTGGCCAGCTGGCTCCGCACCCGCCGCTTTAGCGAGCCTACTTTTCGACCCTCCGGAGCCACAAATCATTGGAAAAGTACAATGTTTCGCGACTTTCCTACCTTTTCACGTATCTGCATCTTCTTTCTTCTGACTCTTTCTCTTCTACTCTTCTTTCTTCTAATCTTTCTCTTCTCTCTGCCCCTTCCCTGCTCTGCTTTTCATCTGTCCATATTTTCGGAAGTTTGACTTCTAAACTTCCTTCGATAAATGTGTGAGCTTGGGTGCGTTAGAAAGAAATATATGGGTCTGAGTTTCTTCTGGGAAAAAGTGGCTAAGCATCCTCGTAATTGTTTTTGTCAACCCCTAAAGATGCTGTGGAAATAACAAAATAGTGACTTCAAAGAAACCATGGGCAAAAACAGCAACCCCACGATGTTTGCGTTAGTTTTCTTGAATCTTATTGCGCAATCATTTGGTAGGATTCTGCGGGAGCAGGGAGGTTCACCAATTCCGACCACCACCAAACAGGCCTATCCCCCAAATGGGATGTTGTTGAGGTAGAACAGGAAGTAGGATGAGTATAGTTCGCCAAACAGTATGGCGGCAAGTGACAAGTGACTCCCTAAGTCACACAAGACACGAAGGCTCGTTTTACTGCCCAGGCTCAAGCGCTGCGGTCGTGCAGCAATGTCACAAACATGAAACACAACCTATGAGGCAACCTGTCATGTCTTTCGCACCAGCCAAATTCTTTTCTTGGCTCAAAAGGTTGTGACATGGGAAGAGGTTGCAAACATTGGAGATCTCTCATCTGCTGAAGTGCTCCACGTCCTTGTTGTTTCGCCTTCTTCTCGCTGGTGACAAACTTCGGGTCATAGTGAAGTCGCCAGACAAAGTTGCGAAGAAACTGCAACAAGCTCTGTCGGGCCACCTGAGGCTTCTTCGTCAAAGCATCGCTCAGGTTCCAATCACCAGCAAGCCAAATGAGCTTTGCTCCACCATGATCAAGTTGTTCACGAAGTTGGTAAGCCTGCAGAGCACTGCGGGCATTCGTGAGACCAAGCATCGGTCCTTCAGATCGAGTGACAGCATCAAAGCCGCCTTTGCTATCTGTTCCAACGATGCCATAGATGGTCTTGACCATGTTGTTGGCGCTGTTGAGGACATCATCACCAATGGGTGCACCATTGAGTTGGCACCACATGAATCTCGTTCTAAAGTTCGCGTCCTCACCCTCCAACATAGACTGAACTTCACCATCATTTGTGCTGATGGCTTTGCGCTTCAGCTTCCAAGTTCTCCATCCAACAATGGATAGACGTCCAGCTGCTCCTTCACGGTGTGCAGGACCACCCAAAAGTGTCAGCAAACCGCCTGTAGAATCACCACTAGGTCGATTGGCATGGGCTTGATCAGCAAGCGTGACAATTGTGACATCTTGCCAATGTTCAAGTTCAGGAGGATTCCAAAACTTCAAGCTAACTGGATTTGAACGAACTTCTCTAATGAGTTCTTGGATCTCCTTGGCCGTGTTCATGTCATGGTTGCTTGTGATCTGCGAAGAAGCAGATTGGCTCGTGCACAGGCTTGAACTTGTGTTTGAGTTGCAGCCCATTGGACTGCTCCAAGTCCGGCTCGACAAGCACTCACTTCATCAGGAGTGAGCTGTGGGTTGTCGGTGCGCTTCAAACGCTCCGGGGCAATGGTCAGGTCCATGAGGCCTTCCACATAGTAGTTCTGATCCACCTCGACCAGAAAGTCATTACCCTCGGTCTTGACGTTGATATCCAAACCAGTGTGTCTGTACTGGTTAATTTTCACCGTTCCCCACTTGTAGCTCTTGTCAATGGCCTCTCTGATGCGAAGCCACTCAGGATCTTGAAGATCTCCGGCTCTATTGAAATCGTCAACATGTCCGCCGACAAAACCAATCAGCTGCTCAGTGTCAAACTGATTTCGAGGATTTGGGTTTGGCTTTGTCCAAATCCAAAAGGAACTGTCGCCGATCAGGCGTTTCGCTCCCAAAGCACAAAAGGTTTTGTCCACATCTTCCCATAAACCTCGAAGTGCTGTGGCGTTGCCATAGACGTTCTTGAGGATTCGAACCGCTTCATGAGGTTCTGCTCCAAGGGCACGATTGAGTTCAGGTACCCCTTGCATCCAAATTCTGCGATCCTCCTCCGTCTTGCCAGTCTGCAAAAATGCAGTGGACATATCAAGTCCTTCCAACTGCCAACGGCGTTGAGCCACCACACACAAGGAGAGGTTGCGGACCAACTGCGATTGCACTGGTGCAGTTGTTGCTAGAGACGGGTCCAACAAGTCAGGGTGTTGATAGCCCAAAACGACTATCCTCGCTTTTGCTTTGCGAGTGCCATCAGAGCTGTGGACTGTGTTCTCATTCTCCCTGGCGTCAGCAAGTGCTTCGGCACGCGATTCCTCAGGCACTGATTTCCAAACCAATACCCATCTTGATTTCAAAACACGTCCACTTCGCTTCGCCTCTTGTTGCTCCTCAAAGCTCAAACAGCGGCGAACTGCCTCTGTCTTGATGAAGCTTGAAACTTCGGAGTTCATTGCTCGCTTGAACAACTCCTTCTCATTGGCACTCAAACGACGAAAACACACCTCTGAACCAGCCAGTTTCTTCGCCAGGTAGAGGCTCGGGTTTCTCTGAAAAGCCTTCTTTTGGCGATTTGAAGCAAGGTCCAGCTCGATGTCCATCAAATAGCCACTGTCGATCTGGTTGAAGATCTGCAGGTGTTTCATATACATGTCTTTCTTGTCGTCCTCGTCCTCATAGCGGGCACGCTTGGACTCAGGCTCAGGAACTGGATCAGGAAGACCATCTTCAGGAGAGTCCAAATAGGGCTCTTTGTTTTCCACCATCGGCGTTGAAGATGTTGTAGAAAATCTGCGATCTTCACGAAGAGGACCATGAGGCATGTTTCCAAAGTCGTCATCTTCCAGGTCGATGAGGTCAGGATCCTTTGCAGGTGTTGTAGGTGCATATGATGGTGATCGTTCTGCTTGTTCATCACCATAGTCATTCACCATCTCAGGCTGCTCATAAACATCGCTGGGCTTCTTCTTCCCAGAGATTCGCATCGGAGGCATAGGTCCAGTAGGGCCAACCTTGGAAAAGTCAGGCACATAGTAAGGAACACCAGGAAACCGTGAAGAGGATCTTGATGAAGAAGTTCCAGCTGTTCGCATATCAGGTGGATGTTCAGGAAGGTCAAACTCCTCGGTCTCACCATCCGCAGGCTGCTCGTGCTCGATGTCGACGTACTCCCTCTTGGGAATGATGTCGGAGAGCTGCTTCCACTTGTTGGGATCGATGGCATTTGTTGCTTCTTCATGGGCTTGTTCTCGATCCGACAAGGGTCGCACAGAGAAGACAGAACATCGATAGAGCGTCTTGCCAATGACCACCCAAACGATTGGAATTGGATCTCCTTCTACTTGTCCAGGAATGAGTTCATGTAGAACCACTCTGCCAGGTCCAATCCATCTCGGTTTCACAGTGCGCTTGACTCCTCCACGAGGTCCTTTGTGGAACTTCGGAGGCAGAAACTTCCTCCAAACCATCACAGGCTGTGCAAGGTCGAAGTTGCGACGAGGTTGCTTCACAGTGGTGTTCTTGATCCTTGAAAGCACATGATCTGCCCTCGCTTTTCTCGCATGCTCTTCAGCAGACTGTCGGTTTGTCAGGAGTCTGGCAAATTGATCTTGTTGACGGTCAATTGGAAGTTGAAGATGCTGACGTAGCTCATCATCAGTCAGCTCAGCTTGTCGACCAAAGGCCCATTGGATACTGCTGTATCCTTTGTTGTACTCAGTGGAGTTCACAGCTGCTGTTGCAAGTGCAAGGCTGATCTCAGGATCTTGGTCAGGAGAGGAAGCATGAATCCTCGAAGCAGTCTCTTTCACCAGTTGATGACCACGTTCAACAAGTCCATGAGCCCAGGATTCATGATCCGGTGGGTAGATCACTTCGATGCCAAGGTCTGACATGTAATCCACAAACTTCTTCGCTGTGAGGCTCTTGGCATTGTCTGGAACCAAGATTCGAGGTCTGGGCTTGTCAGAAAGCCACCTCAAAGAAACACTGCGGATCATCTCCTCGGCGGACTCATTCTTGATAGTGCCGTGCTTGTTCTTGAAGAGGACGTCGGTCACCTTGTACTTGGTGCATAGATCCATCATGATGACAAACTTCACCTTGATGTTTTCACCAGGAACTTCCCACTCAGAGACATCAATGCCAACTTGTTCCCAAGGTCCAGGAAGATTGCGCATGCTCGCTGGGTTGATCTGCTTGGAGCTAATGCCACCGCCCTTTTGTTCTTGGCAGTAGGGGCAAACATGCTCCAAGGCCATCTTGATCTTCCATCGTGGGAGATGTGCATCAGCCATCATCCGCGCCATATTGCGCGCTGTGGGATGTCCAGCTTGTCTGTGAAAGCGATCCAATTTCGCTTTCCATGCTCGTTGATCTTGTTCAGAAGGTTGAACTTCAGCAGGAACCACCGCATCGTCAGGCACATTCTCATCGTCCTCCATGAAGAGGTCGCCATCAGGAAGCCCAGAACATAGATGAGCTTGATGATCATCACCATCGCAGAGCTCCTTGAAGGGGTCCATCACCACAGGTGCTGTTGAAAGCATCTTGATCCAACGGTCAGGGATCAAAGTGCGACGCCAAAGCTGTGCAATACTTCGGCAAAGTGCCGTTGGGTAGTAAGCACTGCGCGTCGTTTCAAGTCCATGTATTTGAGCATGTTCATGGTTTTGAAGACACACCTTCAAGCGAAACATCGTGTAGAAGACCACGTCAGTCGTCAAGATCTGCCAGGACTTCTTGATGATGTTGCCATGAGAGTCTTTCATGCCATAGCGGCATCCATCGATTTGGCACAGGTAGAGATTCCTGCCACACTTCTTGAAGAGTCGTGTCTTGAACTCTTCCACATGAGGCTCTTTCCAAGCTCTGCAGCGTCGCGGCCATTCCCAGTAGAGCTCGGCAGTCTCATCTTCCAGCAAGGCTTCTTCTGCAAAGTCCATCACCTTGAGGTGCATTGATTTCTCCTTGCGACGTCGTTCAAAAAGAACTTCACGTCGGTTGTGGTAGTTGAGGTCTGTCCAGTCACAGTAGAAGGTGCAAGGAGTGCTGATCCAAAACTTCTTGGGCTTGTGGCGACGTCGGAGTTGACGTAGGCCATCATAGGTGTTCTTGCGGTAGAGGTCAAAGCCGCCCGCCAGGTTGATGCGGTAGGCGCACAAGCCAGCTTTGAGAGCTTGGTTGGTCAGCTCACTGTCAGGACTGCAGAACATTTCCCAAAGCATTGGAGGTTTCTGGTAGACTACCTGGGCAATCTCAGAGTGAAGTTGGTCACAAAGAGCAGCAGCCATCATCATCACGCCCTTGCCCACACGCAGAGGCATCTTGAAAGTTGCATCTTTCACTGCTGTTGCTCCCCGTACGCAGGTTCCAGCTCCGTGTCCGAGCTGATGTTCACATTGATCACCGGCTGAACTGCCCGTTCTGCCGCAAGCTGCATGAGGTGCTCCTTCTCCTCCGCTGTCAGGTGCTCGAAGGTCATGTTGAGGTCCATCCTGCTGGGAGAGACCTGTTGCCATCCGCTTGACGCAGGAGAAGGGCCAGGCTCTGGTGTTGGTGTTCGAGGTCTTTGGATCGGAGAAGCATACCCTTTTGCCTTTGCGGCCGTCGCGGCCGATTTGGCCTTGTTGATCTTCTCCACATTCTTCTGCATGTTCTTCTCGAAGTCCATCAGCATGGTCTTGATGCGCTCCTCGGCCACCACCTTCTCGATCATCGCGCGCACCAGCTCTTCCGTAGGCATTGCTTGAGGAGGTAGAAGGCCTTGTAGTTCGTCCAAAGCTCGCTTCACGTTGGTGCCGTTCATCGTCACCATGGAGTTGGCCGGGCTGCCAACTCGAGGCTTGTACCATAGACGGTACCCGCACTGGAGGCAATTGACCCAGATGCCGTACCTGTTGCTCATCTCCTTGCTTGGGGCGTGCGTTCCCTTGCAAGGCCACTGGCTTCGTTGATGCCGTGGGTCTCGAGGATCTCCCTCCATCCGACGAGATTCGTCCGGAGGCTGCATGTCGCTCTTGTCCTTGTCCTTCGGCATGGCTACTTGAAGAGGAAGTTGTCGGGGTTGAGGCAAAGGGCAAACGGTTACCCATGAGCCGAACACTGCTGTTGGAGGACAACTTCATTCGTCGATTCACCATGTACTCGAAGGCTTGACTGAACTTGCCATCAACGCTTGCATTCTCAGAGACAAAAACGTCAGAAAACTGAACTGGGAAAAACTCAATGGAGTGATCGTTGATGACTTCTGGTTTTTCATCAGATTCTTCCAACATGACATGTACTGCAGCATGACCCTTGGAGTTTCGGAGACCATCAGTGAGGTATTCGACAACATCCAACATGTAGTGACCCTTTTGGTTTTGAGGAAGGTTGAGAACTACACCATTCATCAAAGGAAGAAAACAATGACCATCGTTGAAGTCCAAAACTGCTCCAGCTTCTTTCAACCAGTCCATACCTACTAAAACAGGAACCAGCATGTCCATGGTAAACCAATCTTCATGACGTTCTTCGGGATCAGGTAGTGCAAAGCATGAAAAACTGCGTGAACTCCCCGTAATAGATGAAGAAACGGTCAACTTGTAGAGGGCTTGTCCCCATTTGCCAGAACCAAAACGAAAACGAGGTTGATCCTTTGTCTCCACGCGGATCTGTGCTGCTGCATCGGCTTCCATGATCTTTGTCACCCGCCGCTGAACACTGGTTTCAGGTCCAGCAGAGCATGTAGCTCCGGAGTCGATCATGCCACTGCCAGGTGGGATCTCACGAGGGATCTGTGTCTTCCTCGGAGTGGCCACCTTCTTTGTCGCCAGTATGGCATGTTCCACAGGGCCGTTGTGCTGGGTCTGAAGCTCCATCTCCAAACCATAGTGGTTCAGCGCATAGGCATTCACAGGCGCCTTTCCTTTTCCTTTCCCTTTCCAGGGGTCAAAGGACTTGCCCTTGTAGGACTTTCCCTTCGATTTGCTCTTGCCCTTCTGCATAGCATAGATCCAGTCATGCCACTCATCCTCCATGTAGTGCAAACCTTTCTTGCCCTTGCCCTTGGACTTGGAAACTCCATGAGGAGAAAGTCGGTCAGGACATTCTCGAGCAAGATGTTGTGTGCTGCCGCAAATGAAGCAAGCTGCTCGGCCAAAACCACGATCTTTCTTCATGGCTGCCGTTGCACGTTGTGCTTGGCTCCAACTGCGACCATCAGCCAAGAGTTGCTCCATCTTTTGAGCTTCTGCTGCAGAGGTTTCTGAGGCATTGGGATCACCTTCTTGAGCTGCATTGGCATCAGCTTCATCTTCTCCATCTTCAGGCCACCAGCTGTCGTAAGACCATGGGTCTTCGCTCCAAGTCAAAGCCGCATTCCAGGACGACCATCCATCATCGCCCCACTCATCCCAGGAAGAGCTTGAAGACATAGAGGACCAATCATCGTCGTAGTGCTCGTCCGCGATGTAGGCTTGAAGATGTTGTCCATGATATAGCAGAGGCTGTTGAGGATGTCCAGGTTGAAGTCGAGTGCCACCAGTCATCTGCTCGTCATAGAGTACCTGGAGAGCATCGCTAATGGAGACATAGTCCAGCTTTCCCTGCGTAGTGCCCAAAACATCTCGCCACTCATCAGTGGAGAGGCTTGCAGAGGTCAAGAGACGCCATCCTCGTAGTTGCTCCAAGATGAAGCTGTCGGACACCGACAAAACCAGGTCATCATCTTCAGCAGGAGGTTGGCCAGGATCATCCGTTGGAATCCGGGCATAGCGTCTTCGACGTTCTGAAGTATCAGGGCTTGCATTCGCAGTTGGGGCCTCAGAGTCAGGGCCCTCGCTGGCTGACTCCTCATCAACCGTTGGCAATCCAAAACCATCACGTTCAGGATCAACACCATTCTTCTCCTCCTTGAGGCGAATCAAGCACTCGCGGAACTCCTCATAGTGCAAGGCTTCCCGAATGAGGAAGTTGGCAATGGCTTCACCACGGTACTGGGCCATGATTGAAGCAGCATTGGGCAAGCTCTTTCGAACCAAAGGGCTCTTTGAAAGCTTCGACAGAAGAACTCGCACCCCATCAGGACCATTGAACTCCTGAAGTTGCCATGTCATAGCCAAAAGCCGTGCAGGACCGCTCAGCTTTGTGATCAACCTGCTGGCCAAGTAAGGCCGAAGGCTGGGCTTTGTGCCAAGCATGTACCATTGCACCTCTTTCACATAGCGGCGCCATCCTTTCGCTTGTCCATCCCAGGCAGGGACATGTTCCATTCCACCTTGCTTTTCAGCTGAGGCAGACATCGCTTCCAAAACTGGGCAACAAAGATCTCTTCAGAAAAGTTGCAAAAGAAGAATTATAGAACCTTGAAATAGTTCCGGATGAACACAAACTGTCCAACGTTCAAATAGAAATGCAAAAAGTACCCCAGATGTCAAAGTCCAGGATGTAGTGGTCGGCAAAGTGAAGCCTCCCAAAGGAAAACTGCAAAACAAGGCTTGGGCTCAGCGCAATCTCGAACCAGCCGAAGTAGATGTCGGCGGATCCAAGTCAATCCTCAAGGCACCCCCAGTGGACAATCTTCCACGTTCAATTGCTCGCCGTCCGTTGAGGTATCCGATCTCAAGGAAGCAGAAACCCACAAAAGGCGCTAGAGTGAGCACCGCCTGCAACTTGTCGTTGAAGTCTTGGCGATCTCTCAGATCCTCTCTCACCTCAGGCTCAGGGTCAGGCTCGAGGAAAACAGGACCAGGTCGTTCAGGTCGTAGGTCAATCAGCACCGAAGGAAACCCAGGAGGGCTGAAGGCTTGTCGTTGATCTCGTCGGGGAGATCGCGACCTTCGATCGCGTCGGTGAGATCGTGACCTGCTTCGATCCCTTGTAGTCCCAGCAACCACTCGGGCTGCAGCCGCTTCTCCTCGCCGATGTCCAGGAACAGGTCTTGTAGGCCTTGTCCAGGAAGTAGTATCGGCCCCACGAGCCACAGCAGGTGCTCTCGCACTCCTTGAGTCGCTAGGGTAGGTGTTGCTAATGCTCCACCTCCCAGCCGTAGTGCCCCCTGGATCCCCTCACCTGCTCCGCTACCAATGCGGGAGCAGGGAGGTTCACCAATTCCGACCACCACCAAACAGGCCTATCCCCCAAATGGGATGTTGTTGAGGTAGAACAGGAAGTAGGATGAGTATAGTTCGCCAAACAGTATGGCGGCAAGTGACAAGTGACTCCCTAAGTCACACAAGACACGAAGGCTCGTTTTACTGCCCAGGCTCAAGCGCTGCGGTCGTGCAGCAATGTCACAAACATGAAACACAACCTATGAGGCAACCTGTCATGTCTTTCGCAGATTCCCATTGGGCTCCTCCATTTTTGCAGTCTGGCTATTTGAAAGCCTTGATGTTAGGAGACTTAGTCGGAGCTGTAATTTGGGGTGTCCCATCTGTGTAGACATTTGTGTGACAGGAACAAATATGGAAACGGGAGGACAGATACACCTGGGTTTTCTCAACCCTGCAACCTGCGGCATGTCCTTTTCTCCTTTTCTAAATGGTAGGGGTTCGTCCTTGTGGTTTTGGTTTCAATTGTCATTTATCTGCAATTGAATGAAACAAACTATAAAAGGTGGAAAAAAAACACTTTGTCGACTGATTCGTGCCCCATTAAACAGATTGCCAAACCCATACTATTTCAGACGCTCCAGGAAATGTATGACATCGTCGACTGTGCTGTGTGCTCTCTCGACTGCCAAAGTCTTAGTCGGCTAGCACAAACACAACTTTCGCAAGCAGCCATGTTCTGTCCTTATCCGCAAAAATTGTTTTCTTTTCGAGATTCAATGGGTCATGAACATCAATAACATTTTTGCATTCCGTCAGACTGTCAGATTTGCCTTGAAGGTGGCGTGGTGTACTCCGAAGAAACACAATCAATTGTAGATGCCCATCTAGCAAATAGATGAAACCGTATTACCCCCATTCCTGCTGACCATGGTTCTTCCACACTTGCCTTGCAAAGGTGACTCGTCTGAGGGGAATTAATGGGGACTTGACGTACATCGAAAGATCAGGTTGGAAAAAGTGGAGGAAATTGCATGGGGTCACCAGGGTATAGGTGAAACAAGTGTTACCAACGGCAGGGCTGCTCCCACCCACTTATATCTATATTTACAGTAACCCGCAAATAGATAGATTACTATTTGACTGGGTAGTTTTTGAAAACATCAGCGTAAGTGTAATGTTTATGGATATTTTAAAATTTTATTGCAATCGTCATGGTTACAATTTTACGTTGATCTACATGTATTGTCATTAATTTGATTTGTTCTTGCATGTCGGGTTGCAGTTTGAACGTACTGATTTTCAAATAGTCACAAAATGGTTTCACATTTGTGTTTTGTTAACCAGCACTCGTATTTGGTAAAAGTGCGGTGGTTTTCATGCAGAACCATGCAATACCATTTTGTGTCGTTTTGTTGCCAGGCAGACAGCACGCTTTGGTGTTGTCACATGCAAAAAAACATAGCTGGAAAAAAACGATGCCAACAGTTTGAACAAAAACACATTGGGATTTTTTGGGCACCCAAAAAAGAGCAGGCAAAGACAGGTGAAATTGAATTTGGAAACCCAAAAGCAGAAACCAGAGTCCACCAATCCTTGGTGATACTGTCTCACCCGCAGCGCTGTTGTTCAAGGGAAACGACCGCGAACGTTCGCTGTTTGCATTCTCCAGTGCTATGGCCCGCGTACTGGAAGAAATTCCACAGGCATG